ATGCAAGGATAGTTTTTGACCATTGTGCAAAAAATTAAATTCATTTTTAGATAATATCTATGGCATTTTGCAACACTAACAAACAAATCCTGAATAATAGGCCTATTTTTGATAAGCATTGACGTAAAATGATAAAAATCTTTAAACAAAAAAAAAATGCATGTAATTTTTGTTTACTTCAATACGACTATTTATATTATTTATTATGAAAAAAAGATATTGATATTATAATGAGAGAAAAAAAAAGAAAAGTCAGGTTTTTTTAACTCGGATCTCCTGCGTGACAGTCAGTATGTTACCACTAGGCTATGACAGCTTTATGAAATTCAAGATATTTTACGAGTACTTGTACATAACCTAAGCGGTAAACATTTTGCTGACGATGTAAATTTTAGTATTAAATACTAATAAATCAGTATTTCAATTTTTGTTCACTTTCAAACTTAATTGAAGTCTTAACGCTAACCTTTAAATGAGTAAGAAAACCTTGTAAACAGCGGTTTACATATTTATATATTTAAATCATTTAAAACAGCAGAGGCTTACCCGTCAGTGCTTTGATTACATTTATCGCAGTTGAAACCGGCGAAGCTCGTACAAAAACTCATTCGTACTCGATTTATTTTGAAACTAATAAAAATTTATCAAAAATGATTTACATATTTTATTTTTATTTATTTTCATGAAACATATTTCAATAATAAAATACATACAAAATTTAATAGTGTAGAGTCCCGTTTATATGCTTTATGAGCTGCATTTCATAAAAACAATGTCAAAAAGTAACGTCAAGACATAGGTAGAAATTCAATTTTGTATTAGAGCACAGGCAAGCCCCAACTTTAAACAAGGATAATTAAAAGTCTTTGATACTCTACAATGCAAATGTGTAAATCTTTTTTCGGGGGCTGATACTTTAATTTCCTTTTGAACCCAAAAATTCGTGAATTTTCATAATTTTATATGAAATAGGGGTATTTCATTGACCATAAATCATACTAAATATTAACATATGACTGAAAATTTATATGTTTTCAATATTTTAAGGATTGAACTTATAAATAGAACTGGAAAACAAAACATATGGATAGAATTAGTTGGGCAAAAATCAATGGTTAGTGAACCTAGCTCTTTAGGCTGGAAAAAACAACGAATATATTCAGATCGGGGAAAGATAATGGTTTCATTTTAAAAAGTTTAGTTTGGGGCTTGAACGTACCTGTTTATAAACTTTTTTCTCCTTTTCTCCTTTTTCCTGAATGTTATTTGGTTCAAGAAGGCACTGCCTGTGTAAACATTTTCATTAGTAGATATACTCGCAATATTTTCAATGTCAAGTCTCTGAAAAAGTACTGTTTAAAATTGATTTAAAATCCAACTTTTGGCATGCCAATAAAACAATGCTGATCAAACAGTGATTAGCGTAATACTATCGCGTTACAATTATTAACAGTGGTTATCAAACCGATCAGGAACACCCACTTTACTTCTGAATTGCTTTTACGTTATGGGGTTTAAGAAAGAACAAAGAACAAAAATCGGTCATTTACATATACTATAAAAAGTAACAGAGCTTTTATCAGGGGTATTAAATCTATTAAGGGAAGCAACATAATTATATACATGTGTTTTAATTTTATGTTTAGTCAACAATTTTGTTTATGTGTATCATGCGATAAAACTGATATAGTATATCGACCTCGACTGGTGTGTGGAAATATCATGACCTGGGGCGGCATCTTACGGACTTGATCATTATCTGTAGAGAAATACCCCCGATGTCGCCCCAGGCCATGACATTTCACATAACAGTCTTGTCTCTATACTATAACTATAACTTATCTTATTCTAAGATTTTTCCGTCCACTCCGTTATCGTAAATGACTCGTTATGACCAAATCCTATCACTGATCGCTGCGTCTGTAATCTGTGGGGCCCTTTTAAGGGCGTTTATGTGTTGGGTGAAATCATTCTTTTATGCCAATTAGAGATATTCAGTAAGAATTTCATAGAATTCAATAAATGTTTGTCATAAGAATAGTTTACTCACTGATGAGCATAGTATATCTTTCATTATGAAAGGGAAACAACGCATGTTGGACATGTTTACATGTTATGCAATTTTCAAAAAAAAAGGTTCAATGGCTTGGAGAAAATCATAATGTCATGACCTGTTTGCTTAAGAAATGATTTGAGGTCATGTGCTTTGTATCTTAACAGTAAACATATCTACACATTGTCTTTCACTTGACATGCTTAAATAAGACTTCACTAGACACTACGGCTCTGTGGCAAAGTTCAATTGAATAGGGAAAAATCTATCTCTGGTACTGCTAGGTAACAATAAAAAAATTGTAAATATCTTTCAGCTCAAGAATTTTGACACCATATTGCATCATTGTAGGGTCAGTTGAAGGTCATTGTTTAGCATTTTCCCCAAGAAATAAAATAAGGCCTAAAGCAAGATTCAGTTGTGTTTCCTGTACCTTACTAACACAGATTTATGATCATTTTTTATTGAATTTTGTTAAAAATTGCTGTATCTTTCATATTTTGTTGAATTACATTCAAACTTGGAGAAAGCACACTTCAATATATTTTGGGACATACTATTGAACCTGAGTTTCATGTGCATAATTGAATTTTGGCATCAGTTGAGCTGTTTTTGATATTTTTGAAACAATTTTACTTACTTTCTTGTTTTTCGATGTACAGACTTTACATTTTGGCCAGAATTTTCTTATGCGAATTGAATTAAGTTATCAACTGACTACTTTTGATATTATTTTTTTGATATTGTTTGACCTCGTTTCTCGTATTTTGATGTACTTTCTTGAAATTTGGACAATTTCTGATCCTAAATTGCATTTTGATATGAACTGGCCTACTTTTGATATTTTTTATTTCACTTGACCTACTTTTTGTCTAGGGGTGTAATTTGTGTATTTTTATGTTGAATTGCATTTTGATATCTGCTGACCTACGTTTAATATTATTGACAACATTTGACCTACTTTCTTGTTTTTTGACATTCAGATTTTAAATTTGGACCAGGGTTTAAATTCTGATATCGAATTGAAATGACCTATTTTTTATATCGCTTGACCTACTTTCTTGATTTTTTTATGTACATACTAGAAATCTGGACCATTGGTGTAATTTCTGATGCCATATTAAATTTTGTTATCAGCTGACCTACTTGTGATATAATTGTATGATATCAGTTGACCTACTTTCTTGCGTTTTGAAATACAGACGTGGAATTTGGACCAAGGGTGTTATTTTTGATGTTAAATTAAACTTTGATAAAATCTGATCTAATTTTGATATTTTTGATATAATTTTATCTACTTCCTTGCTTTTTGCCATACATACGAGGGGTGTCCCAGAATTACGTGGACTTTTGCTATAACTTTTTTATTTTTTAATGCATTTTTTAGCAAATTTGTACACAATACCTTTAACATATCCTTAATGAATATGTCCATTATTTTTAAATTTCTAACATTGCTTCTCTATATTTTACGTCGCTATAGTAACACAGTATGCGCAGGGCGGGGCAGTCCAATATTTTGTATTAATAAGTTGTCTTATCTTTCGTATATCTTGCGAAATACGTAAAAAATGGCGCGACGTCGTAAGCATATGCAGTGACGTCATATGAATGTTCGTTTGAAATTTTGACGTCATAGCTGTTTCCGTTATTGTTTACCAGCGGACAACTGACAACCGTTGCTCTTGGATATTTAACAAAAAATGACGTCCACGGATTACGCGGAACATCGGACTATCATCAAGTTTTGTGTTAATCTTAGGAAGACGCCAACACAGACGCAGGAAATGTTGGAGACTGCAAAAGTGAGACCTCCTGTTTGTCGATCACTCGTTTTCAAGTGGCATAAGAGTTTTCGAGACGGCCGAGAGGACATTGAAGACAACAAGGGTCGTGGGAGAAAGTCAACGTTGACTGCGGCGTCAATTAAGGAAGTCAAGGACGTCATAGATCGGGACAGGCGTTACACCAAGGTCAATGCTGAGTACTATTCAAGGGTAAGCAATAATTTTGTGTTTAAAAAAAATGATTTTTAAAAATTAAGCTAATCACAATTTATTATTTTAAACGCAATTTATCCGCTTCAGCTTTTAAGAAAGTGAACTCAATCTGCTATAGTAAGCATTGCGCAGTAAGCAGTGATATGTTATTTCCCTTGTTAACGCACATTGTCTTTGCGTACAAAATAAACTCCAGAATAATAAAAATAATAATAATAATAATTATAATAATAATAAAAATAATAATAATAATAAAAAAATAATAATGATAAATAATAATAATAATAATATTATAATAATAATAATACGGCGTCAGCATTATCACCGTCGTAACAAAAGTTAATAGTATGCTTTATTATTATTATACAGGGCGGTGTACGACTAGTGGATATATCCGCACCATAGGTGTATTGAGTTAGGCGACGACTTTGTTGAGAAAAACTGACATTCGACGCCACGCATTTATTAACAACTAGCGACGCCACCGAATGACGTCGTAACGTCGGAATGGACTGCCCCGCACCCGCTACCCCTTGTCTCATTACCCTGCCCACAGACACTGATCCAGTTGCCGGACAACTTTGAAATTTTTTGTACTAATGCAATAAAGTTGCATTTTGTTCATGTTAATTTTGTTTGTTTTTATTTTTAGTAGTTTTTTAGTTACAGCAAAAGTCCACGTAATTCTGGGACACCCCTCGTACATTAAATTTTGACCAATGGTGTTATTTCTGATGCTGAATTGAGTTTTGATATCAGCTGACCTACTTTGGATATTTTTGATATGATTTGACAAACATTCTTGTTTTTCTTGTTTCTATATTTTTCTTACTTCACGAGCTTTGATATTAAATATGGATCTTTTAAGAATATTATAATTGACATAATTGCTTCATTGTTCTAAAAATGTGTGTAATGAGTACTATGCTGCATGAAATTATATATTAAAATTATAGATGAGACCAATACATTACGCTGCTGCATATGGAAGAACTGCAATATTTGAGAAGCTTATGATGAATGGAGGCATCAAGTTAATGCCCTCACTATGGAATTGTTTAGACTTGGCAATTGATAATGAACACGAGTAAGTAAAATAATAAATTTATTCACACATTTATATAAAAAAATGTCCAATGTTTTTCTAATAACAATATTTGACAAATTCGAATGCAGGCGGCCAATATTGCGCATTTCCAGCCATTATAATAAAAGTATTGCATTAAATTTACATGATTTTTGCTCCCCGAAGGAAGAGCATATAGTTACCGCTGTGTATATCCGTTAGCAATTTGGTTTCCGGAGCATAACTTAAGTTCCATTTGTCCCGCAATGTTCAAACTTCATAGGACGATTGTCTATATTGAGTAAAAGACCCCTATATATTTTTGGGTCACAAGGTCTTAGGTCACTATTTCCTTAAAACTGAAAACAGTTTCCGCTCAATAACTTAAGTATTAATCAACCTACAACTGTAGAATTTTATAGGATGAACAGCCATATCCAGTACATGACCCCTATTGATTTTAGGTTCGTAAGGTCAATGATCAAGGTCACATTGAAAATTGTGGTTTCTTGAGCATAACTTAAGTTCCATTTAGCCCACAGTGTTCAACCTTCATAGGATGCTTGTCAATATCTAGTATAAGACCCTCATTAATTTTTGGTCACAAGGTCAAGGTCAATATTACCTTAAAACTGAATACGGTTTCCGCTCAAATACTTTAGTATTAATCAACCGAGAGCTTTAAAATTTTATCGGATAAACAGCAATGTCCAATACGTGACCCCTATTGAGTTAAGGGTCAAAAGTCAGGGTCACCTTAACACTGGAAATTGTGGTTTCTTGAGCATAACACAAGTTCCATTTGGCTTACAGTGTTCAAACTTCATAGGATGTGTTTATGTATCAATTTCTTTAATTTATTTATACATTGTATTAACTTCATAAATGGGTACAATGTAAGATGGCTGTTTTAAAGAAGTCACTTTTTTTTCGTTTATTCATTCAAGACTAACACCTTTCGGGCATATAATGCTCCCGCAACGGTGCTCTTGTTGGCAAATGATATCATTTCAAGGTTCTCTACCAAAGTTGTTCAAATTTTGTCTCTAGTATCAAAATTAGCCCAGCCCCAGGGGAGTATTTCGTAATTTAACTATAATGTACGGCCATCAAATATTGACCATGTGCTCAATTTGAAATGTCAGCCGACCTAGATTTTGATGATGTGACCCTTTTTCTAGTCCTTTGATGTACAGTCATCAAATTTTGGTCTGAAATATCACATTGACAATTAAATTCACTAGGCTTAACTGCATTATTGCAATGTTCAATTGTATGGAAACCAAAAATTTGTTCTGTGTCTACACTTCTATTAAGTATTTCTATTTATAAAATGCGGTGGCATAGCATTTTCACAAATGCAATCTTGTTTCAATTTTAAAATGTGAACTTTGTCCGGGACATAACTTAACAACAAGAGGTATCAACAAGAAACTTAGTTGGTAGACAGATCGTATTGAGTACAAACGTGCAGTGCAAAGAACAGTTACTTTGGTTTGCCTTATTTTTGGTTTATTTCCTTTTGTTAATGTTTACACTTTATACTTTGTCCGGGAAATAACTTAACAACAACAGGTATCAACAAGAAACTTTGTTTGTAGATTGATCTTTTTGAGTAGAAAATTGCACTGCAAAGAACAGTAACTCTGGTTTGTCTAATTTTGGGTTAATCTCCTTTTGTTAATGTTTACACTTTATACTTTTTCCAAGACATAAATCTGAAACCCCAGGGGATATATTTTTCTTTGTCCAACACCTATTCGGTAAGAATGACTCGGTTTGACCGGCTCCTGTTAAACTTTATTTTTCAGCAAATCGATTACAGACACTGAAACTGTTTTTCTTTTCTCTGTAAAAAACAAGATGTTATTTTCTTATCGAAATACTTTAATATCATTACTAGGCATACCCATGATTCGGTCCTACTAAATAAAATGTTAAACCGCCCCTGCACCATTTGATAATTTTTTTGTCGTTGTTTAGGGATTCTACTTTTCCCTTTTTTATTATTACACCAGTGTTATATGTGCCGTGCGGGGACCTTTAAAAGTCGCTACGTTCATTTAATTGAATATGTCTGTTATATTTTCGATCCTTGATGATCGTTCGTCATGCGTCAACATTCATCATCTCTGAAACCGCTGGACAGATTTACTTCAAATTTGGTCTATTGCATCCTTGTGACAGTCAAACCTTAATTTGCATATATTATTTCCATTTGTCATGACTCTTTTAGGGGTCTATAGAGCTAGAAATAGAAAAGAAAGCTTTAAACATCTCTTCTACCGAAGTAATTGATGGATGATCACCAAACTTTGTTGGTAGCATTCTGTGGTAGTCTTTTATCAAATTCGCTCATATTAATATTATTGGCATCTTTAAGGCCTCAAAATAGAAAAAAATAAACATAATCTTGTACTGAAATACTTAATAGATCAAACTTTGTCTGAAACATTCTTAGGTAGACTTTCAAACTTGTTCATATTATTTTGACTGGCCCCCTTTAGGGGCCCCTGAAGCTAAAATGCCCAAGGCCATGACATTTCTTCAAATCGAAGAAACAATTCATGATGGAATGTCTTTCGTACATGTGAACATGTTGTGCATTTTTTCTTAAACAAATCAGTACAAGGGTATCATACGATGTGTGCCCATCCTCAAAATTCTGATACCGCGAACACTTTCAACTGGTATTATTAACAAAGACGTGTCATGGAAACAATCAGAATAGATTTGAATTTCATGTCTTTTGCAAAGTAGATGTCCTTTTTTCTGTAGCTCAAGTTCTTGAGCATTTTACACGGGTTTTCCGGTTGCATGATTTTCAGCGAAGTTATTGCCTTTGGATATAAAAGGTGTTTTTCACCAGGTTTTCAAAGAAACGTGGTAATTGTAATGCTGAAGTTGGGAGGACAGGCGAGCGGGCGTTAACTTTTGGTTTCTGCTCAATAACTTGAGTTTGCTTTGACCTATTGACACCAAACTTGATTCGTGTGTAGGATATATGAAGATACAGCTATGGATTGCTACTTAGGTATCTGGGAAAAAAGGTCAAGGTCACTGGCTTACAATATAATTTTCAGCTTCTACTCAAAACCTCCGGTAAACTTTAAGCTATTGGTAACTTACTTGGCATATGTGTAGCTTACATGAAAATACAGTCTTGCATTGCTACTGTTGTTTTGTATTTGTGAATGTGTGGTAACCTTTTATATTATGCATTTAATACGATACCCTTGCTGAATTGATCAATATCCCGTATTGCAAAAGAATACAAACTATCTGTCAGTAGTAATAAAGAAGTAAAAAGTTTATGTTTAAACTGTTCTCTTTAATATATACTTCTGTATCAATTCAGCAAATGTGACTTATCTTCTATAGTTGGGCACTGGAAACAAAGCCACCTTTTTAAAAGCTTGAGTGCAAATAGTTGCCTATTGACATTGTAATTTAACCCGTGTTTCTCGTTTTATGTTTGTATGTGAAGTCTTTACATCATGCTAGTGTATACAATATACTGTTTACATAGATATTTAAAGAACATTTCTAATATCCTTTCGTTCTTCTGGCAATATTTCTTCTGCACTGAACAAGCACATTTCCTTGGACAATTTGATTTACAATACGTAACTGTAAAATGAACATCTTTAATCAACAATCTTATCATACTGCTTCTGCCTTTTTTTAAGATCCTGTATGTTGTGATCAAAGTGGTATACCATACTAAGTGAAATTATATATATGTACATAATTATGCAAGTAAAACTATTTTCAAACATTGAAGAATATGTTAAATATGAACTGCAAATATTTGTGGATATTTTATGTAATCATTAAAATATATGCATTCATTTCTTATTGTAAAATTTGACTTAAACTTTATAGCAAATACTTTTGTATTAACTCCCTTTATTTACATGATATGTTGAATTCGGTAATATCTTTGTAAATAATGCTTTTTGGAACCTACAATATTGATAGATATTAATTTGAGCATCATATTTATGATTAACAAGAGCCACCGCCTGGCGGGGGCAACGCTCGACTTTTTACTTTTTCTAAACGCAAACATAGAAAGGTTTGAACATATCTTAACGTTTCCTTTTATAAATTTAGTTGGTCTGTCTTGTCACATTAGTTTTGTTTTATCTATTTTTGTATATATATATATATTATATATATATATATATATATATAATATAATATATATATATATTATATATAATATATATATATTATATTATATATATATATATATATATATATATATATATATATATATGTATATATGAATAGAAACACGCAATTCTATAAATAGAAGCACGCAATTCTATAAATAGAAACACGCAATTCTCTAAATAGAAACATGCAATTCTATAAATAGAAACACGCAATTCTATATATAGTAACAAGCAATTCTATAAATAGTACACACAATTCTATAAATAGTAACACGCAATTCTATAAATAGAAACACGCAATTCTATAAATAGTAACATGCAATTCTAAAAATAGTAACACGCAATTCTAAAAATAGAAACACGCAATTTCAAAAAATAGAAACACGCAATTCTAAAAATAGTAACACGCAATTTCTATAAATAGTAAAACGCAATTCTTAAAATAGAAACACGCAATTCTAAAAATAGAAACACGCAATTCTAAAAATAGAAACACGCAATTCTAAAAATAGTAACACGCAATTCTATAAATAGTAACACTTAATTCTAAAAATAGTAACACGCAATTTCTAAAAATAGAAACACGCAATTCTAAAAATAGAAACACGCAATTCTAAAAATAATAACACGCACTTTCTATAAATAGTAACACGCAATTTCTAAAAATAGAAACACGAAATTTCTAAAAATAGAAAGACCTAATTCTATAAGTAGTAACACGCAATTCTAAAAATAGAAACACGCAATTTCTAAAAATAGAAACACCTAATTCTATAAATAGTAACACGCAATTCTAAAAATAGAAACACGCAATTTTTAAAAAAAACCACACAATTCTAA